CTGCCTGACCCGAGGTTGCTGTCGCTGGCTGAGGATCAAGGTCGCCTGCGTTTGCTTAGAACACGAGCGGAGAGACGGAAAAATATGAATTCTGTGAGAGTGGAGCAGGAAGCCACACGAAGCGCTGCACAATTAGACCATAAATGTGTTTCCATAAAGAACACTGCAGTATCTGCAGCTCCTAATAAATAACACAGAACTTTGGTTATATTTATATTCATCCTCGTGAGAATACAAATGTGCTGTAATTGTTTTCCTCCTATTGTTTTATACTCATATTTATATTTTATGAGGTATGAAGCAGAGGCAGTGTTTTAGGGGTTCACTGTGAAACTGATTACCTCCAGTATGATAAATATCACAAGCAGAAACAGATTCAGCACAACCCAGTATTTTGCAGGAGTAAGAATAAAAGAAGTTGTTTGTAATTCCCATGAGGAAGGGGAAGGTTCGTTGGGCTGTAGCTACAGTGGCTGCAGTGTGGCTCAGAGGTCAACAGGGAATATAGTCATTTTATTAAGTCAAATATAACTGGTTGGTAAAACCTGTTGTGAAACGGTAGATTCTGTCACGTGGATGTTAGGGAACGCCGGCCAAGACATCGGAGCCAACTCCGCCAACAGACTGTAGACACCAGGCTGTTAAACAGCTCTGCAGTGCAACGTTGTTTACACCGGTTTCCCACCTGACACGCTGCAGCCTCGTCGTCACAGTCCAGCCTCGCCTCAACCATCAATAAGCAATTATTCTAATGCAATTAAACATGACCCTTCCTCCACTCCTAGCATCAATACAAATCATTTCCTCTAATCACAGGAAAGTGTTGTGGTGGTTCAGCGGGGGTGGCGGCCCCTGTAATTAAGCCCCCTGCACTCATTTGCTCATGAAAACCACTGAGCAAATAGACCCCTCGCACCCACTCCTTAACCTCACTCTTCCTGGGAAACATCCGGTGTTGTCTTATTATGGACTTCCAGAACAGGAAGTAGGAGAGCAGATACAAGGACACAGTCCAACGGGAGGAGGAAGACTGCCCCCTCCCTCTCTCTCACTCTCTCTCTCTCACACTGAGCACTTCAGATAGAATGTTTTCTCCATCTCCTTTACCCTAATCACAAATATTATAAATATATCTCTAATTTTATTACCTACACTAACCTTAATCCGACCTTTATTCTAATCCCAACTCCAAACTAAATCTTGAACCTCAGAATACCCTCACCCTAAGTACAGATTTGTCACCACAACAACAGTATTTTTCCATCAATTTACCTTAGACCAGCACAGAATTATTAATAAAATATATTAAAGCAAAGTCTAGGGCTTAGGTATAGGATCGGGCTATAGCTGTTCTTTTTTGTTTTCAATATTTGATCCTGGAATGTTGCAGGATATCAGACTAGTACAGACTATTGGCTAGAGCCATCACTAGTAAGAAGTACCGTATTTTCAGGACTATAAGTTGCACCAGCCAGCTAGGGTGCCCTCTAGTGGCTATCAGTGTGAAAATAACAAATGTGAAATTATATAAGTCGCACCTGAGTATTTGTTGCAAAACTAGGATGAAAAAATGCAACTTATTGTCCAGAATACTGTAACTCAAATTTAAATCTAATGCAGGTTTTGGGGTCTGTGTAAGACAAGGCAGTCTACGGCAAACAAAAATGTAAATTTTACAGAATTCTTCAAAAGATTCAAAAGAGATAGTATTTGGCAGAGAAAACAAGAGGAGAAATATCGGCTGTGCTTCCAGACTCTGCGTGTGTAAGAGTGTGTTTGTGAGTGTGTTTCATATATTTGTGTCTCTGCCATTTCTTTTTATATCTGGATGTTTGCACGAGCGGCCAACGCCCTGTTACAGTATGTGTCAACCAGCAGTGAGTGGGAGCAGGCCAGCAACAGGATGTTGCAAAAAAAAAAAAAAATGAAGGATTGGAGTCCAGACGGACTCTTGGCTAACAAGAAACACCTACATCAAAAAAGGGAGAAAAGGAAGTGATGGTTGGTACCCACAGTATTGCAGTAATATCCTGCATGTAGAAAGTGGAGGATTACCTCATGATGACCCACAGCATGTCACAACAACCTTACACTGCTGTGAAATTTGAGCCAGAGCACTTTGTAGTGAAATTAGATTTTTAGTATTATTAAATCTCATCTGAAAGTTATCTTAAATTTGTGTCCAGCCCACTTACTGAAGGTGCAGTGGTCACACTGACAGGAAAAAAAAACTGAATTTCTATACAATCATCATGTAAACACTCTTTGACTCTTTGCTAAATCATACAGGACCATAATCCCTGGATGTGGGTGTGCTTAGGTTTTGAGGACTCTTACAGAGATGGGTCACATGACTGCAGTGTGTGCCCAGCTTAAATTATTTGTTTTCCTCCGTTGTGCGAGTTTCTGCGTGCCCTCGGTTCAGACAAACTCTCATTCATCATCGTCAGGAATCTTCAGATCCCGCTTTATCCTTGAACAAGAGCTTATTTGATATTGATAGCCACCTCTGGCTAAACAGACAAAGATGTTGATCCATCACCTTCCCATTTTAAAGTGGAGACCTTGAGTGGCAACACAACAGCAACTTTGTCAGCGGATGATGAACCGCACAAGTACTCTGACAACAAATGGGCCAATAGCTGCAGTAAAACTATCACGTCTTTTTTGGGAAACACACACACACGCCGCTCACGAGAGGCTCGTGCGGCCATTGTTTCTGGGCGTGCCAAGGTCACAGCTCATATTTTATAATTTAAAATCCCAGAACTTGGTTTTATTCTTTGAGCCTTGGCGATAAAGAGATCAACACAGCGGGGCCACTGTACTTCAGTGCACCACACACGGTGGACTCATTATTCTAATTCTGTGTCAAGCTGCGATTGGCAGCTGGTCTCAACCAAAGACTAATGCAGTCCATGTGTCACAGCGGTGCTGTGCATTGGAATTGAATCATTTGAAGAGATTCCAAGCAGGTTGACTGTATAAAGGACGGTTGGTGTGACAGTACATTTTTTTAAACTGTTACTTCTCAGATCACAGTTAGACTTTGGATCAATTGAAACTACTGAAACAAAGCGACAGAGTTGAGAGGTCAGTGTTGTCCCAATTTACTCACATTCACAGTGTACTTTTTTCATGTTATTGTAAACAGTTTTTTTAATTTATGTGATGAGGACAAAAACAGTCCTACTGTATATTGATGTAGTGGCAGTTCCTCCGCCTGCCACCAGAGGGTTCACAATTCATTTCAACCTAGTCCTGTGTTTCGAGGTTTGCTTTGCATCAGGAAGGGCAGCCTCTGCTATATCACTGTGAGCAAGTATATATGATAATAATAGTGGAGGCAGAATATACAGAGAACACTGACAAGAATAAAGCCAACGTTTTTGCTTTGAAAATGCTCTGGTGTCAGGACGACCCTCGTTCTCTGTACACAACTTGTGAAAAATCCATTGAATTTCAGCAGTCATATGAACAGATTTAACTCATCAACCGCCTTCAAGACACTCTGTGTTTCGTTTATTCTTGTCACACTGAGTTTAGCCTTCAACAGCCGCGCCCGACTTTTAATGTGGCAACGTTGCTAAATGGCAAGCCATTTGTCAAAATCGCCATTTTATATTGCTATTATTCAGAATGATTATTCTCCAATTAACTCCAATACTTTTGACATTTGCAGAGCCTATCCCTCACTTTGGAATTGGCTGTTAACACATCATGAGGTTCATAAAGCTGCCTGACAGGACGTGACATGATGGAGCTTATGGCCTTTTATGGAGCCATAAAAACACATGTATATATATCTATATATACCATCAACGTTTATCAATTCACGTATTCCATAACCTTGGTATTTGCAGACTATAATTTGACATTAGCGAGGTCTGGGGGCTGGGGTCTGGGGTCTGCGGAACCACTTTCATTCTAAAGAACAGACGAGCCCTCAGGTTAAATATTCAGACACACACACAGACAAAAATATTTGTCATTGGATCTCAACGGATCTGAACACATCAGGATGGTAAGTATGCGCTGCTATATTCTTCCTTCCTCTTCATTCATTTTCTCTTTTCTCATTATACTTTACAGACAAAGGGAAGACACAGGACAAGATTAAACCGGAATGATACCAGATTCCGCTTTGAAATACAGAACGACCCGGGGGTCCCTGCGTGGCTGAACTACTTAGTCATTCATCACTCTTCTTCTGTGGGTCAAAGGTCACAGAATACTTTAAGAAATTGATGGTGAGACGTGGCCCCAGAAACTGTGAGAATGAAGAAATGAGTCCTGCCGTCATCATCCTGTGATTATAAATGAATATTATAATATTATCCCTGCAAATATAGATCACATGTGTATTATCACCCAGGCAGTTAAAAAAGAACGGGAACGACTTGACAAGTCGTCAAGAAAACACACACAGGGATGCTGTGTTTATAATGAATGACTATTTGGTTTCTCTCTAACAGAAGTGTAACCTCGCTGTTTCCCTGTTATTTGTTAAAGCCTTGGCCCAGATGTGTTTGTTGAATATGTTTCTTCATTATTTCTGTGTAGTCCCTGAATGTGAATTCATCACTAACAGAGCTGATGTTATTACCATGGTCATTAAGGACACTGTTACACACGTGTCTCACATGTTCCGTGTCTAGGCCCGACTCTGGAGATGGAGATGACTGACGAAGGCAGACTGTTTGGGGGGGGGGGGGAGGAGGAGGTTGGGGGGGGCAGACTGAAGACAAGTGGAGTTTTGCCAATCTCTCTCCTCCTATGTCACACAAACCAAAGGAATGTGTATCATTTAATTGCTCTGGTGAATTGCACTGAGGTAAAGAATGTTGTTGCCTAGAAGGACTCAGAGTTTTTTATATTTCATTTATTTACTTTACTGAGTTTTAACCGCAGAAATTGATTTTTTTTCTTCTAAATAAAATTAATAAAATCTGAGAAAGCAAAAATAATAATTATTATATAATTATATATATTATATAAAATTTAACTAACTAAGGGCTCCTTGGTTTGTGCTCATCAGATTCTCCAGAGACCACTCTGATTGGCCAGTTGTGCATGAAGAAGAATGGCCAACACTTTGTTAGTTTCATACACGGACATTTCTTCACTGGTCATACATCATGTTGGTCTAGTTTCAGGCTGCGTCCGCGCCCTCTAGCGGCCTTTACAGGCGTGGCAGCAGCCTCACAGTGAGGTTCCAGTGCGCAGCTTTTTTCCTCCTCTTTGAAGCTCGCCTCTCATGTCACTACTGTTACTCATATGTGCAGCCAATCTCTTCCTCATGACGCCACCAAGGCTGGGCTCATGGGGCTCCGGTCTTCATATTTAACCCACCCAGCCCTGGATGCACACTTGGACTGGAGACAAGAGCGTGTACGAGGGGACAAATTGACAAACAGGAAGGTTCTCTGCACCTGCTGCCAGCCGCTCTCTGTGACTTCACCACCACCATCACCATCACCACCGGCGGCGGCGGCAGCAGCAGCAGCAGCCGCGGGACGGAATCCAAGCATCTCCGCCACGGATCACCTGTTATTTTTGATGGATTTCTTCCGTTGTTTTTTCTTCGAATTATCTTCCAAATCTTTAAAGAAGGAAGACTGTGATTCGGTGAACTAGACTGTATCTTTCTGTCTTGAGACTTTTTTTTATTCTCACCGACACGATTGGCATTTCTTTTATTCTAAGAAGCAAAAGCGGAATTCGTTGAACAGGGAATCTTTCTGTTTTGTTTTGTTTTTTTGTTGTTTTTTTTTTTTTTTTGCCAAGCGCCTTTCGGCAATATTCACTATTTTTTAAACAATGACATGAACAATAAGCACTTGAGCTTTCACTTTGAGCCGCTGCCTGTAAAGTGTTCGTTGCTTCAAATGCGCGTGTCCGCTCACCTGTCTGGGCAAAACCTGGACCAGTGTCCAAATTAGAATAACATCGAACACACGATGGAGCTGTTAAGATAGAAGCAGCGGTGTTGCGTAGGGAACGATCACGGCGAACCTTCAAACTAACATCGCTGCTTTGTCATCGGTCGTCGGTGTTGAACACCCATGTCCTCGCCGTGAGGTGTGCTGCGCTTAAAAGCTTCAGTGTAAAAAAGACATAAAGATGATTTTGTTTCGTAAATTCAGAGTGTTGATACTGATGGTGTTCCTGGTGGCCTGCACCATGCACATCATGATAGACTTGTTACCCAAATTGGAGAAGCGTGCGGCGGGAACGGACGGCGGGGACGGCGGCTGCCAGTGCGCACATCACCCGGGCGCTGAGACGCAGGGCTGGGGGAAGCAGCGCGCTAAGTCAGCGGCGGAAGCCGGCTGGCCTAACAAACACACGCTGAGGATCCTGCAGGATTTCAGCAACGAGCCCAACTCCAACCTCACGTCGCACTCCCTGGAGAAGATCACGGCGGCCGGGGACACTGCCAGGCGGATGAGACCGTCGGCCGGGAAGGCGCAGGACCACAAGCCGCTGTTGGGAGACTCGAGTGGGGTCCACGACCACGGGGTCTCTAAACTCACGGCTCTTTTTGGGCATCCTTTATACAAGATTGCCCTTCCTGCTCTCACGGACGGCGACACTTTGTTTAATGTCAACACTGACATCCGCTTGTATCCAAAGGCAACAGGGAATCAAGAATGGTGAGATAATAGGAGCAAACTTCTGTCTATCCTTCCATCCTTCCACCCATTCATCAGTTTCTAACGTAATAACCCACTCAGGTGATGTAACCTCACCTTTTGTAAAGCACAGAGCCTTCAAATCCCGCTGGATTATCTTTAATCATTGTTACCACACTAAAGGAAATTACAGATTTGGCATCATACTCCCTCAGTTTAGACAAAAACACTGGAAAACTACTGTAGAAGAAATACTGTGACGATAAATTCTTTGAATACATTTTGACAAACTACAGTCTATCCCTTGCAGGCACAACGAGGAGGGTAACGCAGAGGAAGACTTGTCTCCAACAGGAGAGGCGACAGCTGAATCCTACCCAAACTGGCTGCGTTTCCACATTGGGATCAACCGCTTCGAGCTCTACGGCAGACACAACCCAGTGCTGGATGCTCTACTGAGAGACCTGGTGACACAGAGGATTACCAGTGTGGGTGAGTCAGTCACAGGGAGGGTCAGGGAGGAGGTGTATTTGTGTGTAGTCAGAGTCCAGTATTGATTTGTTGCCTGTTAGATGAATTCATCATGTGTGAACCTGACCTCCAGTGTAATTCTGGTTTTCTCTTTGTCTCGTGTATCACTGTATGTCCTCCAACATGGAAGCCCTGCTCTTAGATAAACACATAGATTGAATCCTGTACATTAATGGACATTGTCATTGTCAAAGCTGTGGCTCATTGTGGGAGCTGTACACCCCCAACAATTTTGTGACAAAACTTCAAAATAGTGCCCCATCTCGTCACTTAAATCATGACAGAAAATAATTGAGAACCACTCGCCTAGTGCGGCTGTGTGGGTTGACCAGAAGTTGTTTTTATTTTGTGTATGATAATATTTAATTCCTTGGAAAACTTGATCTGAATACAAACAATGCATTGTACCGTTGTCAGGCAGTGCATGTGTCAGTGTGTGGGCGTGGCTTCTGTAGAAACCTGCCTGTGTGTTGCTCAAAACATGCAGCAAACTGGTAGTTGTGTAGCAGCTGTGGATGAATCTATTCAATTTACCTTGTATTTTAAAAAACACAGAATTAGGAGAAAAGAAGAAAAAAAGTAGACGTAGAACTGGACAAGAAGAAGAATGACATTTTCCTCTTTCATTCACAAACATCCTGTGAGACTTTCTTCAACCACACTGGTCTGAAACCAGCCATGAAATTAGAACCATTTTCATTCAGTACCATGTGAATCTGGCCATTAAGTCATTCCACTACAGATGCAGTCAGAATTTAAAATCAAAGTGAATGAGCAGTAAATTACAGTCAATGTTCCTTATTTCACCACTATCAAAGCTCATGGAAGAGACCCCCGCCTCTGTCAGAGTGCTGCACAGTAATATCTGGCTGTTTAGAGTTGTTTCATATTTGTTTTTATCCATATCCCACATCCCAGACTGCACTTTAGTAGATTTGTTTTCGTCCCCTCTGTTCATAATACATAAACCATCAATCTCTGCCCAGACACACCTATAAAAACACTGTCTGCCTGCAGACAGGGAAACTCAGTGCAGTGTGTGCTCTGTGTTCGCCCGTGCACCTGAAAGTAGGTATTACAGCCTTTGTGGCAGGTAATTGGTATATACACTTAGCACTTATCTGTCTCACTAAAATTACAAAGCATGGACAGCAATTGAAAGTTCTGTTGTTTTTTTTTTACCCCCTCAGCATTTTCTCTAGCACCCCTACCCCCACCCCCACCTCCCCACACACACACACTCCTCTGCGTCCATCCCTCTGCTGGGGCAGACTCCGGCCTTTTGTTCAGTCCTCAGCTGGACTCATAAATCATAAGCACAGTCCTGTGAGGTGGCATCAGTGAGAGCAGAATGGATTTATCATCGCAGCGCGGCGTGGAGAGAGGGGACGTGGAGCTTTGTGAGAGGTGCAGAGAAAAAGACAGGAGCATTGATTCCTTTGTGGATGCTCAGAGGAACCCGGGCAAGATACAGATGGGCAGACGGGAGGAAACACATACATTTGCCCAAAGATACCAGAAAAAGATTTATCTGCTATGTTCATGTTTGGTCGCATGTCATCGTGACTATCCAGAAAAAATATATCATCTGTGGTTTCTACAGAGGATTAGCTTTTATAGTTTATGGATTAGAAAGTAAATATCATAAAGGCACAGACTCAAGCAGTGAAATGAGGCCATCCCCAGAAGAACTGTGGCTTATGGGGTCAAGGTCACAGCATTAAAACGTATCTCTGTCGTTTGCGATCTCTCTGAGGTTTGAGGATTGATGTATAGCCCAGTGTGTTGATTACTGCAGGGCCAGTGTCTTCTTGACCTGGCTTTATTAAATCTGCCTCATGTCAAGCTGTAATACTCTCAGTTTATTCTTAGGATTTGACTCGGTACAAACCACACTTACTAAGAAAGAAGCTGCAGAGCCTGAGAATCAAATAAAAGTGAATCTGTAATTTGGTAATGCTCCAGTACTGTACAACAGTCTGGAGGTGTTTTACCCCCAGACCATTCATGAATTCATTAGGGTCCTAGGTTTGATTCCCAGAGGTTTGCCTCCAAGGGGCAGCCTGTACCAACAGATCTGCTGTTAACCTAGTGTGGGATCAATCAAGTTTAAAAAATTTTAAAAAAAAAATAGCAAATCAAAGTCAGGGCTCAGTCTCCACACTTAACAAAAGCATTGCTCATGGTCAAGGTTTCATGGGCTAGACTAGCTTCCCTGCACTCTGTGGTCTGCTAACACTGAACCACAGGCAGGATTCAAACCTGCAGTCTTCTGAAAACAATCCTCTAACCACTAGGCCACAGTTTTCCAAAATTACTTCATGTTCAACACATACTTTACATTTGTTTGATAAATAATGTCTTTTCTGCATCGGCAACTTAAGAACTTCCTGGGAAACAGGTTTAAAACTATCACATAAACACTGTTTAGAATATTCCAGACTTCTGAACTGAGTCAGGGTTTCTGAGGAAGTCATGGTGTATACAAACCAAAAAGAAGAAGAAACTGAGGGACATGTCAATAAACAGTCAGCGTAGCAGAGGTGTTAGCATTCAATAAGCTTACACTGGGCTTACACTGATATTGAGGTTAAGTGGAAGTGCTGTGTAATATGCTAATGCTAATGCTATAGTCGCTCTGCTTGAGACAGATGAAGACCCTCCGTCTCTGTCTCTGTCTGTGTCTCAGTCTGTCTCTGGCTCTTCTCCCTGTGTGTATGAGATCAGTTTATGGAGGTGAGAAGGGAAGTGTTTATCATGCACAAACAATCACTGACAATGTGTTCAAGACGTGCAGGCTCAGTCAGAAACATCTGGTGGGAATCAGGTTTGTTCTGGTCCGTGTGCAGGATGGGAACACACAGCTGGGGGCACATCATTTTTTGGTTGTTTTTCTTTTTGGGGAAATAATCTTACACAACCTTGTGGTGAAAGACAGTTTGTTTTTATCACGCACTGCTTCACAACAGCAAGGTCGCCGGCTCACTTTCAGATTCAAACAATGGTCTGTGGAAGTGGAGCTTTTTTATCTCCTGTCAGTGCCCGCGTGTTCGGTCATGCAGGAGTGTTTTCAGTATTTGTCTCTACGCGGTTCTGGGACAGACAGGTGTCCTCTTCATGGGTCCCCCTTTCTTAACGCCATGCTGACGTGGATTCCACATACAGGACTTTGCCTTAGCTCCCTGGTTCCACCATGTGGTTGCACTTAGAGCTTACTGTACTTTCACTGACATAACTTTCTCTACAGTGACACATGCTTTGAATCAACTTCAGGTCCGTCATGTTATCCACATTGAGAACAACTGCAGTACAGAAGACTGAAGCTCTTCTCTAGTTTTGGGGGGAACAATCTGTGTGCAGTAAATGGAGGTTTCTAGGCAACTGTCTGTTATGGACATTGACATCCATTCCCTGTAAATGGTCTATGCTTTACTATATTAGACTTTTTTTTATCTTATCATGTCTTTGAAAAAAGTGTATTCACATGTGTTTTTGCTACTTTTCTCCACTAATTTCCTGTCTGACTCAGTTACACCTTGATTCAACAATACCACCTTAATTGCTCAGCAGATGTGACGGCTTCATTATGCATTGATGTGGAATCACTTTCCCCAGATTGGTTAATGAGGGAGCAGCTGTGCAGAAGTGCAGGTGCATCGGTTTATATTTACTTAGTATGAGCACACAGATGGGGGATATATTTATGTAAAAAGAAAATTGAGAAATACTAAATTAAGGTGGTGAACTTTCTCAGATGCCTCCTAAAATAACCAGCTTGTGATTTTTTTTCTCCATGACGCCACAGAGTTTCAAAATGCTGGTGTTTTAATAGAAATGATGTGACGTTACTTCTGATCTTCTTGTTACTCAACTACTGGCTCTTTCTTACTTGAATGACTGTAGAAGGTCAGTTCATCATCTCATGGGGTCACCAGCCAAGAAAGGTTAGTTAGTTAGTAGAAAGTGTTAGTTTCTAAAGACATTTTTAAAGGGAAGATTTCTAATCATTCACACTGAAAGAATGGTGAGATGCACAAGCACTGAGTAACAGGCCTGAATTTAATCACTGCAAATCAATACACATCTATTCATAGTGATTATATTCCAGTGATGACTCATCTCTATCCATTTGGAAGCTATTTACTCTGGGAAGGTCACCCACAGAGTGCAGAGATCACAGCAGAGCTTCGTGGAAATAAGGATGTTGGAAATCATACTGCACAGTATCATCATGTGATGAGGTTCTTTAACATCCGTGTACATTTTACACTGCTACTGAAACAGACTCACAGAGAACCATCTTTTCATCTTACCCAGCATCCATCTGTATTTTGCACATGTAGCCTTGGTTCATGCCTAAACCGGTCCAGGAGATGATCTAACACTCCTATTGTTTTTCTCTGCAGCCATGAAATCAGGAGGCACCCAGCTGAAACTCATCATGACTTTTGAGAACTACGGACAAGCGCTTTTCAAACCCATGAAGTAAGTAGCACGATTCTGACTGCACCGCAGCGCAGCTACATTAAGTCTTAGGCATTAGCCTTACGAACATTGATTGAATTTATAAGAACAAAGTTTCTGGCTTTATATATTGTGCACTAGAAAAAATGTTTGCTACTCTTGCTTTGATCTTCTTGCTCGAAGAGACCGGACCAGGGCTCTTTAAAATTCAGACCAAAAACTGCTGCTGCATCCCTGTGCTTTGTTCACACACACACACGAACACACCCCTCCCCTCGCTCCATGTGATCTTTTTCTGATGGGGAATCATCCGTCTGCTTTTTAATTAACATCAACAGGCTTATGTGTTAGTTAAAATGAGCACTGAGCCGTCGTGAAGACGTCTGTGGGGAGGAGTATATGCTGACAAAGGTGCATTGTACTCGAAAAAGAAATAGCCTCCGTCTCGGCTGAGGGTGAGTTCTCTTTCGGTGGACTCCCTTGCCAATAAGGATAAACGGTTTCCAGGCCAACTAGGTTGCAATCGTAAGTAATTGCTCAGGAACCTGATATGATGGCTATGAAATTCATACTTTGTTTCCATATAAGAGCCTCAGAGGGAACTATTAGATTTTCAGACAAAGGCAGAGACAGGGAAAGCAGCTGCGACAAAGAGTTAGTGTCTTTGTGTGTGTGTGTGTGTGTGAGCTGAGGAAGCTCACGGTGTCAGATCAACATCGACGGCTCAGAAACAGCCTGTGTATATTTTTTTACTCAAATGAACCGAGCCTGTGGCCAAACCAGCTGAAACACGGAGTGGATTTTACTTCGACATAAAACTTAAAAATAAAAAGGTGAAACAGTTTCTCAGTGTCAGGGTTTGATTTATGGAGAGACTGGAAAGTTTATTCAAGGTTCTTTCACCCGTGCTGTTGATGTCCGTACACTCTTTATTGCCAGAATGAAGAATAATCTAACCTTTACTTTGTAAGGGAGTCAACGTACAAGTATGAAACAGTCATTTTTCTTTATCCTGACCTAACTTTACACCGTAGGCTCAAACCATGGCTCCATTCTGCAGTCAGCTGGGACATCACATTCATTCAAGCACGATTTTCAGTTTTTTCTCCGTGTCATCCCGCAACCATCATCCTGCATCCCCGCCAACGACAGACAATTCCAGTTTTGAATCTGATTATTCACAGAGCTGCTATACATTAATCATGATTAATTGAAATTGTAATTAATGACAACATGTGTAATTGCCATGTATTCATACAATGATATGTTAGGATAATCAGACATACAGTGTGTATGTGTGTGTGTGTATATGCATATATATATAAATCAGTGCGTATTGGTTGAAATCAGATCCAATAATCCTGAAAACACTGGTACTAACTCCTTGTACGTAGTAGATATGGTTTAAATCAGTCGTTTCCCACTGCCATCACACACTGTTTTGACAGTAATTACAGCTTCTGAATTATACACTCCAGATTCCTCCAGCTCTTTATTCAGCCTGTCATATTTTATTCAGACCCCCAGCTTTGCCTGTCACCAACATTTTTCTTCACTATTTACTTTACATGCCAAATCTCAAGAGTCAGAAAAATCTTTGCAAGCAATAGTAATACTGTAGAAAATTAACCACTGTCTTAGTTTCACAGAAGTTTTTTTTTTTTTTTAATGTAGCCGGGCATTAAGTCTAAAATCTTTTGCCAATCTTGTGTTCTACGTGACAAGCTGGTTGTCTCGAAAATATTCTGGGAGTTAGCGTGTCACGCGTTGCCAAAACACGCACACACAAAAAAGACTGTCCTGGCACTTACATGTTGTTATTTTGGAAATGTCTGCAAAGACATGTGCCAAAATGAAGGAGCGGTCACGGTTCAGTCCTGCAGATAAGTATGAATTACAGTCAGCGAGGGAAACCAAAATGAGAAAAGTTTCTGCAGTTCTTTCAAACCCTAAATATGTTGGATTTCAGCTGATTTGCAGTCAGATTTGTTTGCTAACAGCAAAATGGTTCCTGAAGTCCTTGAACTGGAGACAACGGGCAGGGAATTATTATGGGATTTTAAGCACCCTTGGAGCTAAACTGTCCCCTGAGACAAGTGTATAGCTTGCTGATACATGACTAATTCTTCAACATAGAACCTTTAAATGTCACATCACCTTTTGGTGATTCTAACAGGTTCCTTTCCTGCAGCGTCAGGAAAAACTGTGCACCCGTATTAGCAGGGAATATTGGCATGACGATGAATCAGCCCTTATTGCCCTTATTTGCCTGTATTTGCATGGCTGCAAAACACGCATCAAGTGTTTTCTTGTTGAACATCTTCCATTAAATGTTCCTTTATTTCAGACAGGGCCAGGTTCCTGTAGACTCATGACCGCAAAAACAAACAAAAAAACCTGGTCCACAGTAAAACTGACAGGTGACACATCACATCAAGCTTCAGGCAGTGACATCACATGACATCTCTTTCCATGGATGACTTCTGCATGAACACAGACAGTAGCCATGTGTTTATGCATAAACAAAATGAAGGTAAATGCTGAGAGCTCAGCACCAACGCACACAGAACCCCTGCTGAATCCACCGACCTCAGCTGTTATAAACCTGAAACGTCTGTCGCTCGCCACTCGTTTTACACAACCATAGGAATTCCAGTGGTTTCATAGATTTGACACACTTTTGAGGGACGCCATCTGAGCTCATCTCCGGGTGCTTCCACTGGAAGCGTGTCTATAGGCAGCTGTTCGCACACAGCTGCAGCGCTCACTCTCTTTCGCTCTCTCTCTTACACACACACACGGATGTACACACAACTAGCCAACACACGTAGGGGTTACGGAGTTTATGAAACCTCCATCACCCACGGCTGGTACGGAAAAATCTGCGACCAGTGAGGCAAGACGCAGCTGTAGCTGCTCAATCAGTGATGTTGTTGTATTACACAGAAATATGAACTGCATACATGACAGAAGAAGAAGAAGAAGAAGAAGGAGGAGGAGAAGAAGAACAAGAAGAAGAAGAAGGAGAAAAAGGAATGATGTTTGGACAGAAGTTCCTGACTCCAGATTCATTGTCTCACTCGTGCCATCTCGGTCACAAATGTCACACAAACTACGGTAATGCAGACTGTACCAAACACTTATTTTGTTTCACATTTCCTGAGCCTGTTTATCTTTATATATAAACAAATGACTCCATCAACTGTGCAGGAAGAGATGTTTGGACTGATCATGTGTTTATAGAGCAGACAGGGACATCGAAGCCTTTGCATGTGAGACAGACAGTAATGGACAGTGGGGACAGTGACACACTGGCTGGATATAGTCATGTATTAGCTGTAACCACAGTTATCCAGGTCTCTAACCACACACTCTGCCCTCGCTCTAGGCCAAACTAACCATAGTTTACCGTAGTTCACCAAATCCTGACCTCAGCGTTACAGATAATAATATTTGCAGACTGCTGACAGGCTGCTCTTTAAGAGTCTGTCTTTGTTAGACGGTTGGTGTGGTTGTGTTGTTGTGCAGGTTTTCTGGAGCAAACATTCTGTGTTTTCCTCGCCTTCTCACATATTTCTCAAACACAAACACAACCAAACGGTGAAAGTGTTCCAGTCTTAAAATCGCTCGCAGTCTGACAGCTTCTTCCTAGCCTGTGTGATCACTCATTTCTCCCTCTACACCTTCCCTCCATATTCTATCTCCGCCCTCGTCATTTGTGGAGTTTATCAAAGACTTACTTACGTATCCTCTCCAACCCAGCCTGGAGATGTCAACACTCTCAGCATGGGTTTCTTCTGCATGTATGTAAATTGTCAGTGTTTCCTTTTGCCGTCATTTACTCGACGATTTATGTGTTTTTGTTGTGGAGGCACATTTGTTTACCAAAGTCCTTCATCTCGCAGCTTCACGCTGTGGCACCGCATCGCCGCTGATTTGTTTACAGGCGTTTAAACTTGTGAATGTGTGGAGTGTAATAACGTTGAGCTGAAATATGTGTGTGTGTGTGTGTGTGTGTGTGTGAACGTAAACCAAATACGATTCTATCAAAGCCTACTGGCGTTCCAGAAGAGCAGGTTGTTAAACGGCGTGTCAGACATTTTTCTTCTTATCGTCGAATTACACCTCGTGACTAAACAACGGTCATTTTACATTGTTCGCATTTCTGAGAATTACAACTGACCCATTTTCACCCACTTTGATGAGAGAATGTTACACTTTCTTGATGTTCCTCATTGTTCTTTTTTGATGTTCTCCACTCAGTGGTGGAACATCTGGCAGCTTGTGTTTTTTTTTTTAATTCCCAGCAGAAGCTCAGAATCCCAGAGTGCCGTTTCTGCACTTACACATTTTGGTACATATGGAAGGCCGGCTCCTGGAGTTAGTGGTGTTTTTTCTCCTCCCACTCTCTCCGTCTCTCAATCTGTTTCTCCACCTCCTCCTCCTCCTCCAGTCCATGCAGCTTTAATCACACATTTGTCTGATTTGCCAAGAAATGATCCCTCTAATTTGTTCTTCTGCCAAAACACACTTCAAACAAATGTACGCTCAGAGTTTAATGAATTTGTCGTAGCTACACAGGATAAATAAGTTAGCGGCCACAGACCGTGGTCAGACTGGGGTTTTCACACAGTTCCCCACAGTCATTTTGGTCTCTGCACTTGTCCCTCCCTGGACCAGAGCATTTTCAGCGATCGCCTCTGTCGTGCAAACATGCAGTGAGGGGAAAATCTGTTTTTCTTGAAACCCAAAAAAGTGTAGATTTCACCCTTGGAGTTGAGGACGTCTGTTGTCCTTGTCCCAGGGTGTGGACCAGATTCTGCACCACATCCTGGTCAAATCCATTTGTGCAGCAGCGTGCCCTTGGTGTGGTTCCTGACCTAGTCCTTGTCACTGCTCTACACTGTTGTGTAGTTCTGCCATCCTACCATATTATTATGGTCTAAAATACAGGATGGGTGGAATTCCAAAGCTTGTCTTTAGGAATGTCACTTCCACAGTTGTCTGGAATGCAGAACATT